TTACATTCTTCTTTTGGTTTTCTTGTTTGGACAATATTCCCATTTCCCGAAGGGAGCTTTCTACTCTGTAATAGCCTCTTTGAAAAGGAATATTAACCATGCAAGTAACTGTAGATTTGGTGTTAACTTTCATGATCACAGTATGCATTCAGTTTCAGTTATGGTGGTTTTGATTCATTGGTTCTCTCAACTTTCCAGCTTAACTTCCTTTTTAATTCCTTATTTTATAGAAATTTTCTCATTTGAAATAATTTTTAAAATCCTTGGCAATTTTCCATTTACTATAAATTAAACTTGATAGCATTGTGGTCACTGTTTCTAATTAGCTCAGTGGTGTTCAATCTCACACTACATTTTGAGCTCTATATAATATTAAATCTTAGGTCATCCCTCTTTTATTTATTTATTCAGTTAGGATGCCACCCAACTCCAATGAACCCTGGGTGGCTTACAAAAATAGAGTACCATTCCATCACCAGTTGCTCTAAGGCAGAATTATAAAAATGTTATTACTTCATCATGACCAGGACATGCTTGTATCTGGTATATGTAGGAGGAGCTGAAGTTTCCCATAACTATGACCTCTTCTGGAGGTCTTCCTGATTTATTTCTTTACAGTAAAGTATTTTGGTCAGGGTATGTCCCAAGTAACAAATTATTTTGGACCTTGGTATTATAATCCATATAATCTCTGTAAAGAAATCAGCCTCTTCTAAAGTTTCTTTTTTGTCCTACATTGTGACCTCTTAGATGTATAGAAAAGCACTGTCCCCAAGTCTTTCCTCCTGCTTTGAGACTGAGAGAATACCATATCCTTTTGATTGTCTCCACTCCACCCTGTTCAGCACTAGGGTAGGAATGTATAACAGTCACTATGTGGCCAGTATGAGGACCACATTGGCTTTTGCATAGCCACACTCCAAAATGGGTGGGGCCAGGACTCCTTTTGTATTTTTTATTATCTTATTGCTTATATTTGATTATTGTATGTATTTTGTTACATTCATGTTGTAATATTTTTAACATTCTTTCAAAACTGCAGTGATTTTAAAAAGGCTGGAGAGAGAGAGGGAAGCAGTAGAAGGGAACAGATTGGGAAAGCTGAGAAGGGTCAAGTGGGGGAATTATGGAATACAGCAGGAGGCCTACAAGGATCTACAACTGTATCAGGCCACGGCAGAGGAATAACTTTACAGACAAGGCAGAAAAGGCAAAAAAGTAGCATCTGTATAAGCTTATGGCCCTGGCCAGCGGCAAGACAAAGAGATATATATGCTTGCATGATTTGACTTTCAGTCTCTTTGGGGCCTTGCTCCCACCTACTTTCTTAAGTCCAAGCTTTCCTTGTTCCCTTTTGAGTTTGGACAGTTTGTTGCATTAATTGTGAATTTGTGAGTTTGTTGCATTAATTGTGAGTTTGTGAGTTTGTTGCATTAGTTGAGATGATTTTCAATTTTTGCCTATGTTGCACTATTGCTAACAAGGGAAGTGCCAGTTCAAGTGTATATGGCATCCCTAGGCCACATTGACTGATGGTATCACTTCCCATTGATACAAAGTTTTACATTTTTAGAATGATTCGGAGGGGTGGAGTTGGCCCCCACTCAACTTTGGAGCGCTAGACTAATGCCTAAAACTGGCCCTGAATTGGGGGAATACCTTTAATGTTGTTAATTAGGTTAACTTGATCGTGTGAACCTACATGACCAAAATAGAAGGAATGGGAAAGGTGGCCACCCTGAGCTACTTTTATGATGATAGACTGCTACTCAGAGTTATGGAAGCTATGAAGAAGATATATAATTCCTCTGGACTGACTCAAGAAAGGCTCCCATGTGCTTACAGAGATACGGATTACAGGAATCATGGATGTGGGTAGGTTTACCCTGAAGAATAAAATGACTTCTCACTGATACTTTTACAGAATTTGTTATCCATAATAAAAATTGCCCTAATTTAACCAACCTAGTTCATCATATATTTGCTCAGTTTCTGCCTATGTTTATAGTAATAAATACAACATCACTTGATATTTCATTTATAATACCCAACCTAATGTATTTTCCTCTTTTATAGTACTATCTCCTTTTTCCAATGTCATACTGGTTGAGAGTTATAACTTTCACAGTTATTAGATACCTAAGATACATATGACATGATTATTACATAGGGTGAAGATTATTGCTTCTTTTGAATGTTGAAAAAACTTTTGTATAAACCTATCAGATTTAGGGAAATGTAAATGGATAGTGTAGTCCTTCCCTTAAAAAACATTGGGTGATGTGTTTATATCTTAACTTTGTGCAAGATGGAAAGATTCTTTGAAGTGGTTGCTGCTTCTGTGTCTCAACTGAAACTCTCTAAAGATCTCCAACCAGACTATTTATTTTATCTCGCTTTTTAACTAAAATCAGGATCCTATACTGCTAATATATTTGTATATAAACTTATGAAAAGAGCTATATCTGTAGCCATTTTTGTCAGCCCATAGAAAGCTTTAATTTCAAATTCTAAAACTTCTCAAGTCAAATGTATGTTGAAATGGTCTTTTCATTAATATTATTAAGATGTCTATATTCTCACCCATAGATTATTTAGTAATTGTTGTCTAATAAATTTCATTATATTTTGTCCCTGAATCTAATTCTCTTAATTTGTATCTAAGTTCTCCCAATTCAGACTGGAAGTAAGGCACTCACAAAAATGAATTAAAATAAATCCTTCACCTTGAAAAATGTGAAAGAGAAGAGTTCTAGCTTGTCCCATTTTCTAATATCCAATTTTCTGTATATTCCCTGGGGTCAGGGAAGCATTCATATTTATTCTGTAGTGGTAGAGGCAACAGAACAGGTTGACCACTTTAATATCATCTACACTTCTCTAATTAATAACATGTGCCTAACTCCTAGTTTGGAATGCTTCTTCCTGTTTCTGTTTCAGTCAATGTTCCACTCCTTTGCTTAGTATTTTCCCCCCTTCTTTATCTTTCTCTATGCTTGCCGCCTTCACTCCATTTACCCCAATTCTTTTCTCTTTTCTGTTGCTATAATCTAGGAGCTATTCTTCTGAAGTAGTACTAGGTCAGAAAGTGTATAAACTAAAAGAGAGTCAGAACCTATGTCTCCTGACCTTTATCCTGAAAGGGTATCAGGTGTGATACCTCTCTAAAGAATCTTACTGGTAATCTCTTGTTGACTGGGAGTGTCTGCTACAAACATTTCCTTCCAGTCTACCCTTTCAATGGCACTTCACAGTACACTGAAAATTATCAGGGACGTTAATTATTGGCCTCTTGGAACAACCCACCTACTTTGATTCAAGCATGCTTTCCCCAATATTTAAGAAGGTTGTTTACCAACGGTATAGTATAATTACAGAAAATAGTTTGGTTTGGTTAACATTTTTATGTTTTGTATGTTTGGTTTACGAATCTAAAAGCAGCTTCAGGTTCAAACTTTAAGTAGCTCAGCATATGAACAGAATTTTAACTGCTGAATGCCAGGAATCAAGATTTGCCTGTTGGAATTATGGAAGACTGTTTGAACCGTGTAATTGAAACTGATCAATAAAGGAACTTGGGGTGGGAAGCTGGTGCCACTGTATTGAAAGTGAACTTTCTATTACCCATGCACATCCCAGCTCCCAAACCTGCTTTATAGCTGTATCTAATCATCTGTACTTCAATGTATTCTTTATTATAAATAAATGTTGTGGGCTTGAACAAAATAAAAAGGTTATAATGCTAAAGGGAGAGAGAATCATAATGCTCTGGCTGTAATAATGTTTTCTAGTAATTCATAACATTTTTATATTGCCCTCCCAGCTAGACCAGCTTACTATAAGAAGTCATAGGTAGAGGTGCCTTTGAGAAGAGTTTGGAAACTTCAACTAGTACAAAATGAAGCTGCCTTGATATTGATGGAGCTGATTAGCTCCTCAGAGGTCCTACATTAATTTTAAAACTTGACTCTTAGTTGGTATCCAAGCTGCTGCAGATAGCCTTTAAAGGCTATGTAATTTCAGTCCCAGACACTTGACGGTTTGCCTTTTCTCATTTGTGTTTAACTGTAAATTAAGCTCTTTCTGAGAGGAACTGATCCATTTGCCCATTTTAAATATAGTGGAAGGATGCATGTGATAGGATCTTCTCAGGAATAACACCAATCCTGTGGAACTCCTGCCCTGGCCATCCTCCTCAGCAACTAAGCACTTTAGTCAGGTTGGAGAATTCTACAAAAATTTGGATCTACATGTATTTCTGGTCAATGTGTATTGCTTTGTCAACTTTCTAAAATGAGAACGTACACAAGCTCAGAATTATTATAACACTAGAATTATATATCCTGTTATAGAATATAATGCTTGCTTGTTTGTTTGTTTGTTTATTAGATTTACCTCATGCATTGCTCCAAGAGGGGGGGATCTCCTTTCATTTTATCCTCACTGCAGCAACCCTATGAATGACTAGTCCAAAGCCATATCCATGGCTGAGAATGGCCTTGAATATGTCCTGGTCCAGCACCTTAACTACTGACTCTCTCGTGACAATTACGTGCTTCCAAATTCTTCTGAGATCTTACTCTTAAGTTATACTAAAAAGAATAATGAAACAAAATTGTTCTAGAATAGCTAGTCTCTGAATAACTAGTAGCAATGTATAAGAAAGAATTTGACTATGTACAAACTCTAGATTGTTGAACAGAACCAGTGAGAAAGATCTGTTATGTCATGTTCTAATTCACAAATTTCTTAGAGGTACAGTATATGGCTGATCACTGCTGGAATCAGGGTGCTGGAGTAGAACATTCTTATGCTTGACTCCAAGGCATAATTACCTATGATTCAGTTGTACTACAGTTACATTTATTTCTCAAAAAACCTCTGTTAGATTACTCTGTTTACAGCTGAAGTAAAACACAGTGCCATCTGTTGTAAAACAGTATTTTTTCCCATTGTTTAAAATAATATGCCTTTTCTGTTCTATTTCTGTCCTTTTGTAGGAAAAATTGCTTGCTATGCAACAGGAGAGAGAAGCTGCTGTTCATCAATATAAAAATCTAGAAGAAGAGCTCCAGACTCTTCGTATTTATTACAGGTAATGCCATTTCTATTATTGTAAATGTGGAAAAAGTAATGCAGTATTGTTCCTAAAGATTACAAACGTGCAAAGCAAAACCTGGACTAATATTCCAGAATTCCAGTCCATGTGCATTTTTTCCTGTTAATATTACGGTATTTCAGCCTGACAGAGTCCTAGCAATAAATCATTGTCGCGCATCGTCCTTCAGCTTGAAACCTATACAGATGGTACTTTTCAAGCCTTATTGTATTCCAAATGCCAGTGAACAAGTGTCAAAGAGCAGGAAGAGTTTCTGATGTGACATAATTTCTTGGATTGGAGATTATGTTCCAGGGGACCTCTGGTTTGCAGATCTTAGGTTCCAGATTGCCAGTGTTAGTCAGCATCAGCACTGTTGTTTGAGATACCGATACAGCAGATTCAAGTACCCTTTCAGTGTTCAAATTCTGTCTGCTGCTTAAGGTTAGGATCGTGACAAAAATGAGAAAGATTTTTGCATTTTCTTATCTGGAAAACTTTTTGCAAAGGTACAAAAAGCCACTGAACCTTCACCCCACAGTTACAGTGGAAGTGTATAGCTTGCTTCTGAAGAAATAGTTAAAAATGCTAATTCAATCAATGATGGGTCTCTTGGATGTTAGGTGTTAGCCTTGCTGAACTTGTATATGCTTGCTATTGCCCTTTTAATATATGTAAAGGGGGCAAAGAAGAAACAACTGGCAATGTGGCTTGTTATCCATTCCAGTTCAAACTTTTGTCTGTTTTGCTGGGATATTTGCTGAGACTCTACTTAACCTAAGCATTTCTAAGAACTATGGAATATATTAGCAACAGCTAAGGTTCTATTCATCATCTAATGGCGTAACTCCAAATCTCTAACAATTAAGGAAAAGCTTCCAAAGAGATGGCATCTTGCCTTGATGGCAAATTTGTTTGTAAGAGGATCAATTAATATGTTGGTTTACAGGCAAGGAAATTAAATTGTGAACAATATGAAAGGTCTTGGATATTATTCATGAATTATAAAAATGAATATTTCAATATAGACGTTGACATAAACCATAACTATAAACCATTCTTTCTTCTGGCTCAAATTTATTTATAGATTTCAGAAAGTGCTTATTTAAATGTTTGGCATATTAATAGAATTTAAAAAATCATAGATTTGAAAGAGCCCACTTACGCCACTTAGTCCAGTTCTCTGCTCAGTACAGGAATACAAACTATAGTATATGTGACAGATGGTTGTTCAACCTCTTCTTGAATACACCCAGTGATTCTGATGTTGAGCTGCTCTTACTGTAATGAACTTTTCCATGACTCAACTGGAATTTGCCTCCCTGTAATTTAAGGCCATGATTTCATGTCCTACACTTTGGGACAATAAATAACAGGTCTTGGTCTTTCTGTATGTGACATACCTTAAGCTATAGCTTTGAGCCCTATTTGTACTCACTGTGCAGGTGTATGGGACAGCTTTCTCAGCCCAATTTCACATCAGCAGAAATTACTTTGGGGCAGCTGCCAGGGACACAGTACCATTACAGCCTTCCTTAGGACCTCTCTTTAAAAAAAGCAAAACAAACCAAAAAAAGGATATGGGTGTTCATGCAGCTGGGTCTGTAAGCTGTCCTTTAAATTCCCTTCATTATTTCAGAATGGCAGTACTTCACTGGCATTGTGGATAATGAATGAGGCACCCATTCAACTCTAAACAGAGTGCTCATGCTGTTTCTGTTAGAACAATGATTCAGAGCAGAGGTTCTCAGACTATTTATTAATCACTTAAATTTGTATGGTAGGCTTCGCCAAACCTTAATTAAAATGTAATATATACATCAGAGTTTTAAATGCACAACTCATTTCTTAATACTTTTCAAAAGTATATTTTTTCAAATTATCTTATATAATGAAAATTCATTTCATTATAAAGATGAAGCCTAGATAAGGCTATAAGGGCCTAGATTAATCTGAGGAGTTTTTTACAGTTTAGGGAATATCATATTATGGAAAGCACGAATTAAGACAGGCATTATTAGCTTGTTCCGTAATCCAGCCCTGGTCAAAATGGCTTCAAAACTGCCAAGAGACAAATCAAGAAGGTGAACTACAGATATATTCTTCACTCTATCAGCCCACTAACCAAATGGAGTTTGCTACCATGAAGTTTGAAAATACATGACAGAAAATTTAAGAAGGTGTTATTCTAAACTTAATGTTATTCTTCTTTTTTAAAAAAAGATTTCTAAAAAATTAATTAAATCTGTTTCATGTAAGAAGGGAAGAAGTGGGGTAGAGAAGTACAAAAAGGAATCTCTCAATTCTGTGAAAAATTGACTCTTAATGAAGTTTATTCTTTATATGTCACTCAGGAAAAGTTTTCATTAGCCTGATTCAGTAATGGAGAATTATTCCTAAAACAATACTTTGTATAACTGTCATAAATTATAGTATTGCCAGTTAAAATATTCTGATTTTCTAACTGCTATATTCTCTCGGCAATGATTAATGCAAATCATAAAAACTGGATATGCAGGTAAATTATAATCCATTTTCCTAACAAGGGAAACAAATGAAATAGACCAAAAGATCATGGGAATATTGCTAAAACAATAATGTACATTATAGGCTTTCTTTAAAATATGCTTAATTCCCAAAGAATGTGGAATTATTATTTCTATTTGAGTTATGCAAAGCCTTTGAAAGAGGTGCTTTGCAATGCACAGGAGCATGTAAGCAGCACTTCTTTTTGAATTGTTAAAGCAGCCATGTCTTTTCCAAGGTTCATACAGTTGCTTTGGAAGCTGTTCTGTGTCCCCGTGGAGACATCAGGGGCAGCTTTGCTTTAACAATGGTTTAATAATTCATTGCTTTAACATATCAGTGTTCCACAAGTTGAAAATAGGTGCTTTGTATGTGTCCTCCTCCGTTCAAAGACTTTGTACTCCTGTGTCTGTTGATGTCAGCCCCACTAGGGAGACCAGCCATGAAGTCAATTCCACAGGAAGGCTAAAACTACTTTGAGATTAGATGTAAGAATAAACTCGGATTTGGCTGTACCTCCCCCTGCTTCTTATAGTTTAGTGAATTAGGGAAGTATCTATCTGAGCTGCTTCTGAACATTATCTGGACATTCTGGACTTTAAAAATTATTTAGCCGTCGGGACCACCAGCCGCATAAGTCTCAGCAGGTTTAGTCTACCAGCCAGTTCCCCAGACCTCATCCAGTCTCCCATGCCATGCCCTTTTTCTTTACAATCCTATTGATGCAGTCACAGAAAAGACCTGTTCACAGACTTCTTGACTACTTGATTTTCAAAGTGATTACTATTAAAAAAAATGTCATGTCTTACTATTAGCCCTTGGGGAGGAAAGCTACAGAGTTGACATTTATGTTTATTATATGTATACTCTCATCTTTCTACTCATGCAAGTATTAAAGGTAGCAAACAACAACAAACCAGAATTCAGTAAGTTATAATATATAATATATATAATTTAAAATTAATATTAAATCAATTATTAAAATTCTGGAGAAACAGGTATATTTTTATAGTTCTCTAAAATACTGAAAGAATGAGGGCCAAAGATAACACTTAAGGAAGGACATTTCATACCTGGATGTTCCAGATATATGCACTTCTGACAGTAAGAACATATTCAAAAGGACCTCTCCTGCAGAACTTACCTGCAGGAGAAATTGCAGCCCCCATGCCGTGAAATTCACTATCCCAGAGGTTGATCTGGCCCCTCCTTTCTTGGCATTTAGGAAGGTGATTAAAATAATTTTGTTCCACCATGACTTTGATCTAAGGTTATTGTTTTTATGTGACACATCTTATGAGGTAGAGGGTTTTTTCCCTATAACATGTTTGAATTTTAATTAAGTTCTTTTTATTTCTGTACTATCACTTCGTTGTACAAGACCCAGAGTCTACATATTTGAGCAGCTTACAAAATCTATAAATGTACTATATAAATGAGTAAATAAATTGAGAAGTATTCCTTCATTTAAAGAGATTAGAATCCTGAGCCAGCAGGTTCTAAGATTGTATTTGTGGATGCTCTGTTGGGCTATGCAGATCTGTTTCACAGCATCTTTCACCACCATCTGTCCAATCCCATTTTGAACAGGTAACTCAGGAGGGCAATTATTAGTGTATTCGACTGAAAATGGTTCCAGGCCTCCCTTGATCAGGTACCATGATATCATCCATAGGATATCTGATGGGGGGGGTCTGCCATATTGAACCGAACACCCTTTATTTTTTACTACAAAATATATCCCACCTTCATTTATAGAACTCTGGGTGGTTCATAGTCTTGGAAATCTGACCCCCTAGCAGAAGCCAAAGATGCCAATGAGCTGTTGAAGTGATCTAACTATAGCAAAGGACTGATCATAATGTCTTCCATATCCAGATCACATGCCCTTTGCTCAGAGGAAAAGACTACATCCAACTTGTAGCCACCTATATGAGGAATGCCAGATATCACCTTGGACAAGCCAGTGGTTATTATGGAGGCTGTGAATTCCTGAGTCTTTTCAAATGCCACCTGCAGAACATGGAGATTGAAATCCCCCAGGAGTAGTAGCCAGGGAGAATCCCACACTAACCCTGTGACAAGATCCAAGAGCTCAGGAAGGAATACTGCTGGGCAACAAGATGGGCAATCAACTAACAGTTTCCCTAATTTGTCTCTACAGCCCAACTTATACCAGTCACCTGTGGAGCCAGGCACTTAATCAGCACCAAATTCTCATGCAGAATCATTGCCACCCCATCCCTGTCCTGGAAACAGTGGCTGCTGAAGTAGCCAAAACCCTGAAGGACAGATCTCCAATAGAGGAACTTCCCCATCCTTGTCCAACCAGGGGGGCAAACAGATCTAGAAAATTTGCACACACTGAAATAAAGCCTGCCAATATGGTTATTTAGTACTGTGCTGTTTATGCTGTCTGTCTGTCTGTCTATCTAATCTTCATACATTTTGGAGATTTCTTTGTAGTAGAA